TAAATTATCCTGTCTTGGCATGAAAGTCTGAGGCTAGAAAGGCAGATAACCAATTTGTGCCATTTCTCAGTTTAGAATACTATTCTTAATCTGTTCCAATCTTATCAGCTATAAGATATTTAGAAATTACTTACTACTTTGCCAAATAAGAGTTAGAGTTAAGAAGCCACAAATTTCTAGAAGATTATGCTGGTTTGTAGTTGAAAACAACAACAACAAGCCAAACAAGCAGCAACTGGAGAAACTAGAGAGACTAAATGTTATTCATCAAATAACATAAATATTAAATACTTATCATTTTTTCTTTTGTCTTTTATATTACTTTATTTAGTTGCTACGTTTTATATAGCTAATTTGGAGATGGGGAATGACTCAATTTGTTACCTTGAGTATTTATAGGCATTTCAATAACCATTTAAGTATCAAGCATCTGTGTGTTTTACACTTAGCGGAAAATGAAACATGTACGGGTTTCCAAGGCAGCAGATGAAACAAGCCAACTTTACCATTGTTCTGACTTTTTCACAATGTCACTGTCTTGGATTTCACATCCAGATAGAGATGCTGTGAATAAATTCTATGGGTGAAGAAGCAGAAAATAAGGAGGAAAAGAGGATTTGCCATGTGGATTCATTATAACAATGTGGAACACAGAGTCTCACACACACAGGCTTTCCTTACTCCCTACGGGATATCTATCTGTAGGCTTCTATCAATTTCTAGGAGATTTTCTAGGTTGAAAGGATCCTCCAGTTAATTTCAGTGTATAGCTTGTTTTAGATTTATCTTTCTCTTACGTCTTCTCTCTTCCTTCTCCCCTTTTCAAACCTCTGTTAAAAGGGGTGGGGGTAGGGGAATAGATTTAAAAACAAAAAAAGAAAGAAAACAATGAAAACAGTGTTATTCATGTATCCTCAGAAGCATTTTATGAAAATACCGCTGCTTCATGCTGACTAAAAATACAAGTTACCGTATTCTTCTTGCTGTTCATGGAAAAGACAGGATATCTATGCACCCATTATTCTTCACGTACATACAGCAGTCTCGTCATTGAGGAACATGATGTTTCAGGCTATGTCAGAATAGCAGAAAGGAAAGAACAAGAATCAGGTAGTGGAGCATAGGAGAGAGATACCGTACTGTCTGAGCAACACGCTCAGAGACACGGGCTGTACCGTATGTGGAGGCTTCAATATATTTTAAAATGTGGAAGCGGGTAAAGAGCGACTCGCCCTGTAAGTTTAAAAGACAGACTTCACTCTGATACATGCTGAGAACAATTCCTTCCTTATCTGACTAAAAATCATGTGAACCAACACATAAATCTACAGGCCACGAAGCTGCTCCTTTCAAATGTGACTTCTAACATAATTTTATTTTCTATTGGGTAAAAAGAATCATACCTGGAAACCACCTTGGCAAGCCAAGTGAAAAGACAGAAAACCATTAATGTTGTGCTGTGAGGTGCTATTTCTAGGGTCGCTAGGAATGTTATTAGGGTGTTTCAGGGTGCTATGGCTCTTCCTTCAAAAAAGGCGAGTTAAATGTTAAATGTAGGTCTTTACTAGCTGAAAGGCACTTTATCCACAATTCATGAGAAATGAGACAACATTTGTGTAATACAGGGTAACACTTCAAATATTTTTCTAAGTGTCACTGATCTTATCACCCCGATCTGGAATAAAACCTGTTGAAATGGCATTGTAAACTGCTAAAATAAACTGTGCGACTGGCCGGGACTGAAACTAACTTGTGTCTTTAAACTCAGTATTTCTCCAGAATCAGTGTAATTTAATTGAAATAGCTCTGCGTGTGTAAACAACTCTTTTGTTTAAAGAAGATTTCACTGTTTAGTTTGCCTTAAGTAAATGCTGCCTTTTGTTTGTCTGTAAAACATTTGATTAAATGTAAAGACTTACATAGACAGCTTCTCCTCATTACACTAGTGGCTGGAAAATAAGTTAAAATGATGCAGGTATCTGCTGGCTAAGGAAGTATCAAGCAGTATTTGTCTCTAAAAGAAAAACCCATGGAAACATCTTAAGCCTAGTCCTAAAATCAAACTACACCTCTCCTAAAATCAAGAAGATGGTATTTAAAGAAGTGTTGAAAACTGTTCAGTATACCAGACTCTCTTCTTGCTTTCTTAAAAGCATTTTCTAGTATTTTCATCAAACTCCAGATTTCCTACGTGGCAAACTACTTTTAAATACGTGACTTTCTACTGAGTTAGAGTGTTGTAATATGAAGACCCACACTTTATTGTGATTGTAATGGTATTAAACAACAAAATAAGCAAGACAACTAACATATTATAATTTTCTTCAGCAGCTGAAATGCTTCTATAAATTGTAATAATTTTTTTAATGTACTCTAGAGATGGTGGAAAGTATATATTCAAATAACTGCATTTACTATTAAAAAAATTATGTTGAAACCAAAAGCTCATGTTTGAGCCTTTCTCCTTTGGAAGAACTCTTAAATTCCCTTTCAGACTAACTAAAGAGAATTTAAGTCCAGTCAGGAAAAAAGCAAGCATAACAATTTTTTCATGTCAATAGGGCCACTCGCAATGCACAATCCATAGTGAATTTTGCAGATTTAGATCTTTATGCTAGTGATACTTATAGTATACCTTTTACTTGTATTGTCTAAAACACGGTAAGTAGAAAAGGAACAGAAACTCACCAGACATGGAAGGCAGGATGATCGTTAACACTTTAAAGTGTGATGTGTAGCTGGATAGGGTTTTTTTGTTTGCTTGGGTTTTTTATGTACTTTGGGAAAGCTTTTCAGATTCAGGATAGAGATGCCAAAAGAGAGACAGCCAAGCATCCCTCATTCTCAAGACAATCAACTGTTTACAATGCAAAGGGTGAAATCCATGCTATTTCTGACTGCTCTTACTCACCCTAGGTAAACTATTAGCTATTTTGTAATCTTTCTTCAAGATTTCAAGTTAGGTGTCAGTGTTGAACAAAACCTCCAAAATGCTCATTAAGCTGAATTGTAGGGTTTTTTTAATCTAGTCCAATTCAAGAGATTTTTCAAGTCCTTAGGTTAAAATGGGAACTGCTACTGGTAAGTGGCTTTAGTATTAATTTTTTAACAAATATAAATATGTTGTTCGAATAAATATGCAATTCTGGCAAAGCTGTCATGTCAAAATATAAACCAATACTGCAGTTAATTGTAACTTCTTCCTTTACAGTAAACTGTGAGATTTATTCCTTTCACTCTGAGTTGGATTATGTAAAAGAGAGGTTATTTGTAAGGAAAAGAGCCCACCTTCTGCTCTCACCCCCAAAAACATGGTGTAAATTACCTTTTCAAGGCTAAGAGTTGATGAAAATGCAAGATTTAATCCATCTTTTTTCAAGGTTAATTCAAAAGGTGCCTACTGCCATCAGTGGAGCTTGAAGCAAATTCCTATGTTGAAGGCCTAGAAATTCCTGTGTGTTAAACATTAAATAAATGCTTTCACTTGTATGAACCAGGTAGACAATTATACTTGCATTCTCTTTTTTTATATATGCCTCCTTTGATTAGGCAATGCTGGACGTTGCAGCACATCATGGCTGGCTGGTGACTGCTCTGAATATAACCAATCTGGTGCAGATGGTGGTTCAGGGTAGATGGATACACGACTCCTCCCTGCTTACTTTGCCCAATATAGAGCTACAACACCTTTACCTTTTTCGGTATGTAATTCTTCTAAGCATTTGCAGGTTTGCAATTCCATTCCACCTCTGACTGCTGATTGTGTTTGAATGTCATTGTTGTGCCCGAGAACGTTCATTAATGCACCAGAAGCAGAACTCATTCTTTCACAGGGATGCTTTCCCAAATGGAGTTTCTGTTTCTGTTTTCAACATTCATTGATTAATTAACCCCCACAGATTATTTTGAGAACCATGATTCCAGACCAATTAACAAGAGATCACTGGAAGGGTTCCAAGTCCTAACAAATCTAACTCTGTATATTAATTATCTCTTTATTTTAATCCATTGTAAAAATACATTAGTATCCATCTTAATATCATAGCTAATGCTAAGCTCTATAGATGCCTAGATGATGCAGTAATTAATGCTACCCAAAAATAAATGGCCAGCATTTAATAACAGAAACCAGTATCGAGATTTACCGCCAAAACAACTGAACACAAATGTTTGCTTTCCCTCCCCGGGCATGTGTTTTGCTGTCTCTATCAGGAAGTGGAGCCAAGGCAAAAGGAAGAGTGTGCATGGAGGTTACCAAGGACCTATCGAGTGTCTTCCCGAACTAATGGCTGCCTGCGAAGGAAAAGAGAATGTTTTTGCTTCCATTGTGGACAGTGAATTGCAAACAGCACACATTTCACAGGTAATACTTTCTATCCGTGGTCGTTATCAATGTGATTGGAAAGGAAGAGCAGTTGGGAAAAGAAATGCTCTCTTCACTTCCCTTCAGCAGGTATCACGTGATGTTCTGTATAAAGCGCAACACATTCATTGCTCTAATTTCAGGCTACTGCTAGTTCTACAGGGTTTCTTCTCTGCCTGTTTTCTTAATATTATTTTCATTTATTCCCTGCTAACCAGTAACAGAGGCTGCTTTATGGCTGATATTTCCACATCTCTTTGCTCTAAAGAAGCTTCTCTAGGTCATTCAATCTGCTGAGTGTTATCCACCTTTTCGTAGCCAGCCATGCACTAGGAATACATGCATTGCAAATGTCATCGTAGCTGGTTTCTGAAGTGGTCTGTCAAACACCATTTTTTTCTGACAATACCCCTAGTAAAAGATCCAGCACTCATTTTCTGTTTGCAACAGAAAGAGCAGATAAAATTTTCACACTTCACAGGGGGAAGAAAAAAATACTTTCTCAAAATGTTGAGGCTGCTGGAGTCTTATTTTCAGTTTGGTTTTCAAGCCATTTCCAGCAAAGGGCAGCTATATTCCACAGTATTCGTCACATGCTAAGCCTATTGATTTCTAATAAATGTACGAAAGATGAAAACTTCAAAAGCTATACTTCAAAAATTTTTTATTTGAATATTTAAAAGGACAGCAATATGTCCTGTGTTTGACTGTTCAGCTTCAGTTAAACCTTTTACTGGTATGCAAACAAGAAGAAAAGTACTTAAATGTCTATAACAGACATCTGCATCTGTAACTAAATTAACATCAAAATTTTGAATTAAGAAAATGTACTGACATCAAAACAAGGCTTCCTTTAACAACAGATTTCTAACATAATACACATTGATTTCAGTCTAACTTTCAGATGTGATAAAAAATTAGAACATTGTTATAATTAGTTCAGGGAGAACTCAGAAGTAAACTTACTTAATTTATTTGCATAAATTGCCATTCTGTTATCTTTAAAAGCAAATGCAAATTGGCTCTGTCTGATATGATGATGGTTATTTGGCTCAAAAGTGCTTCAATTTGCGTAGCAATCTGGTGTCGTCTCTGCAGTGAGGCGATCCCAGGTAACATACAAATCCTGAATTATTCCAGAAATTAGTATGTTTAAAGCATCAATTTAAGTGCTAATTGCAGTAGTAATGAGAAAAAGCAGTACTACTGTGAGATTTGCATCTACTGCCCCATCAGTATGCCTGGAACGGCTGCTGACTGGCAGAGGATTTGGCTGCTAATTAAATAATTGTATGCATGGCAGTGTTCTCGTCTGATTCAATAGATGAAGATTAATCCTCAGATAAATATGTTTGGCTGGTATTGAAATGTCTTAGCAGTTTCTTCAAAAATAGCTTGTGTGTATGTGGTGTGTACGTTCACACTGTGAATGACTCTATGCCTCTATATGTCTATGTTTGTAAATACAGATGCATATAAGAGGGAAAAACGTAATGCCTTAGCATCACACAAGCAGAAAGTTTCATTTCCGTGAGTTGGGAATGGCCGTATTGGGTATAGCGACGCCATGACTGTTATTATGCAGGTCATTGCAAATGTGAAACATTTATACCAACAGTTTATATTCTTTACGGCATTTTTTTCAGAAAAAACCTATTGTAATACCTAGTAGAGAATTAAAATTCATATTGAGACTGCCTGTTGAGTGCCTTCATACGAAAAGTCCTTCAATGCACACTTAGACAGGGGCCAACCAAGAGAAAAATTCTTCAATAAATAATGCATCTTTATGATACATTTTCGATAAAGAAAGATTATAAGATTACAGAGTTTAAGCCTAGCATTCTGGCACCAGACCTGAACAAAGTCAAATAAAGTGGTAAGTACGCCACTAAATTGCCAAAAACATTCTTTTCCGAACAAACCTTTTACTTCTCACTCACAGTATATTGAACCTGTATCTTAAACCTGTTACCAGCATGAAACTGGTAAAAACAGCTTGAGCTTTGCATAAATTTGAGGCACACAGGAAAAGGAAGAACTTTCACATTTGGAAAGAAGAAAATGTCTTTTAAGCAGATTGGTAATTAATTTTTAAATAGCAGCTCTTGAAGCTGCTCGTGGATTTGGAATATTAGGCTAAGTCCTAGGGAGACAGATTATTGGCAAAAAATGCTAATGATGTTATCAAAGGTTCATCAAGAATTTCTCATGTGATTATGATTTGAATCTATGGGTTTGGTAGCTAAATACATATATAGCATATATGTACATGCACACATTGGGCACGTTGATATATTTAAAAGGAGATAATATGTGCTTGTGTCATCCTAAACAGCAAATAAACAGTAAAATTGTCAAGAAATACCTAAGTGACATGGGAGCCTGAGTTTAATTTTCCAAAAGTTAGTTATAATCCTAAACCTCATTGAAACTCCGCGAGGCTTTAAAAGCTGACAGCCTACATTCAAAAACTGTTTAGACTGTAACTCTGACCTTTGGCCTAAGCTCTATGTTTGTTTCAGTGATTCATTCTGAATCATATTTCTTTAACAAATCTTTTTCAGTTTCTAAGTCACTTAGGCATTAGGCACCCTTTAAAATACTAAGCTGATATTTATATTATTGAAAGAGAAAAAAGAAGCCTCAAGATTGAAAAAAATACTATCCCTGCTGTAGTATTAGCTGCTTTTACTCTGGAAGTATCTGTGTTCCTATAATCTTCTTTTTCATTTTCAGCTGCTACTACTTGACTTTTTTTCCTCAGTAAGAAAAGCATTTCTTCATTTTCTCCGCGTTGCATGGATGATAAAAAGGCAGCCTGCTGTCCATACTGTGTCAATGATCAAGCAGTACTAACTTTGCCTTTAATTTTCAAATACACAAGGCCTGGAGAATGACGTATTACAACTACTTTCTTATCTAATTAGAAAGTTACTCAGAGTTACTTTGTTTTGTTTGCACTGTAAAAGCTACATGAGGACATGACAGCCTTTGACAAACAGAGTATGTTGGGGTTGTACGGTATAAACCAGACCGAATCATAGTCTTCAACAGAGCGACAGGTAACGCCACTGAAGGAGTTAATACATTATGATCTCTGCTGAAATTAAACTTTGCTCTAACATAACTGTAACAGGTCTTGTCCTCTGAGACAGTGCACATAAAAGTTTTCCAGGTAGATGATATCTACAGTATAACCACAGGGGTGATCACCGGGTTGGTATATATTAGGGTGCCTCTACCGAACACAGCAGAAGTACACTGCTTTGGTGCACAGAGAGTCTCACACAGACGGTCTGTACAGTTCCTACAGTAAGCTTCGTCTTAAAAGCCTTTACATTAAACAGAAAATTATTTGCCAGTTAAGGTGTTACTACTCAAGTTGTCTCATCCAGTGTGATCTGCTGGAGGTGATTTTAGTAGTGTCTTGTGTGTTAAATGAGGCGAAATCCTGGCACCAACTATTTAATTAAGAATGCCTGTGGTGGTTTTTCTCCTCCTTCAAGGTGCTGCCTTTTTTTCCCCCTTTTCCCTTTCAGAGTTGGAACAGAGAGGGATATCTTTTCCTTTAACGTTCTAGCTGTTTATCTTCTGTTACAATTTTCCTGTCCTTTCTCAGCTAAGGCACCATTAAGAACATCAGTGCAATTCATCGGTGTCCCCTGCTTTTACACTGCAGTTCCTGAGTGCTCACAGCTGGCCCTCCCCACCTTCTCCTTTGAACAGACACAGCTGTTCATGCAGCACACAGAAGAGGGAAGAGAGATTAGTTTTAGCCTAAATCAGTTTTCTTACTTAGTTCAGCCAGGCTCTGGTAATGCAGCCATTTTAATCCAACGTAAGTCTGCGCTGCAGCCGAAACGGGCAGTCCCGCCCTCCCCGTGCCATTTTCACCTCTCCTGACCTAGCTCACCGCACAGCTGCACAAACGCTGTGGCTGGTTCGGACGAGGAGGTGGGAACAAGCATCTGGGGACGAGGGGAGGAGGGATCATATCAACCCTCTTGCTGACAGTCAAAATGGCCTGTAGCCAAGCGGCTACGTGAATACTTGTGCCAGCAGGGGAGGAGGCTGGACCACTTCTTTCAGTGGCACTGAAGGTTCATGCTTATTCCGAGTACTCACGGGATTAGAGAGTATGCTTCCACAACCAGCTTTAAGCTGATCTAAGTTCATGCTGTCACCAAAATGATTAGCAAGCTGATCCATCTAGCCGCACAATCACAGCATGGTAGTGCCAACGTATCGGGGACAGCTAGCTGGCGAGGAGGATGTTGGACAGAGGGACGGCACCGCCTTTTCCTACGGCAGTGCGAGCTTAGGTCTGCTTACGCTGGCTGCTGTATCCCGAATTATGTATTGACATATACCATTATTGTCAGTATGAATCATGGCAATGATGCCTCCAAAAAGCAAACTGAGTTTTTATTAGGGCTCTATGTCTTCCAGCACAGAAGAAGTAATCAGAGACACATTAAGCACAATCTAAATGAAAATAGATTTTGTTGAAACGCAAGATGGTCAAACCAATACATGAAAAATAAAATACACTTGAGTTTTTTTCCAGATAAAACATTTCTGTTCCATGCAGGATTGCCCATGTGACTACGGCTACCCTTTTCATTCCCACAAGTTCCCATTTTGACATCTGCTGGCTCTTTACCAAGATCAATATTCTTCTTCCCTTCCTCTCCTTCCCACCCTCTAGCTTTTCATATGTGTTGTTTGAAAACATGGGTGAAGCGCTGATTCCTATTTTGTTTCGGGGGTGGAGGGGAAGGAGAGCAGGGCAGAGGGTGGTTCTTGGGTTTTTGTTGGTTTTTCTTCCAGTGCCAGCCTCATCTGTCTTTTTCAGCCATAGCGAGGCCACAAATCACTGCCTCCGTTCCACAGCCCGTTTCTCCATTTCTTCTTCCTAACGAATTTCATTGAGTGAACATGCTGATTTTCTTTTTACTAAATGAAAGCCTGTATTACTCCCCTCCATTTTTGTCACAGCTTCTCAGAGCTGCTTTTCCTTGTCTGACAGAGGCCAAAATGAGAGATACACAGGGCTGCGTATTCAGGATGCCTCTTTAAGGTTGAAGGGAGTGTCGTGTTCAGCTGCACAAATTGTATGCCTCTAACAACAGTTTTCTGTACAAGGATGAGAGGAAGTTGAGGGCCTGTTGCAGTTCATGAGAAACGACAGAGACTTCAGATTCCTCAGGAGGACTGTAAGAAGGAGGGTTCGTGAAGATCGATGCAAGAAAACCTTTTAAAAAAAACAAAATAGGGATAACTTTGGATATGCAGTTGAACTTTTGGTTAATTATCTGAACTGATCCTCTGAACTCTCTGAGGTTTGCCCATTGCTAATTAGCACTGCAGTGACCTGTTCTTTATGGATTATGCTAAGGAAGTTTAACTTAAAACTTAATTGTACTAGTTTTTAAGTGGCTTATAGGGAAAAAATACTTTAATCGGGAGCGGTAAGGAATTTTTCCCGTGTTCAGACATCAGTAATCTTAGTGAGGCATGTATAACGTGCTTGAGGAGTTTCACATTTGTTTTATTTGCTTAGAAGAAAGTAGAGTAAAAGGTTAAAGAAAAGTATTTTATGCTTATGATTGAGAGTCGTACGATTATATGTGATATTCTAATACATAATAGAGTATTATTAATATAGAATAAATATGTAGACTGCACATCGAATTGTTATTGTTACAGTGACAATGGTCTGAACTGTATAGATTGTCTTGTAATCCACAGGGATCTGTTTTTTCTACAGGCTTGGAATTTCTTGTCCCGTTTGCCAATTCTAAACGTCAGCCTGAGCATTAAGGGCTGTCGGGACGACCCAGCTCAGCCACAGAACGAAGTGCCTGTTCCTTCTTTGACAACAGACACGCGAGACGACAAAAGATGGATCAAATTACATGCTGATCAAGAGTATGTGCTCCAAATAAATCTGCAGAGAACCCAGATGGGGTATCAGGTAGATTAATTTATCATTTCCTTCCCAAGTGCACAAGTTTCCAATAATCCATTTACATTATCAATAACGCTTTATACAGCATAACAGGGTTTTTTATGGTTTAAGTATTATGTAAATTATAAACTCTTTCAAAGCCTTTTCTGTGTTAGTAATGAAGCAGATGGTTTTTCAGGTTGCAATAGGATAGTAAATAGACTCTTAAGGTAAAATCTTAGACCAATTCAAGTCAATGAAAAAAACTCTCATTTTTTACAAACCAGAAACTCATAAAGTTCCTATGCTTGGGTACTACAAGCAGTGACAGTAGAGAAGATAACTTCACAGGCAGTATTTAAGTACTTGCCCGCCCCAAACTCCTACCACTCGTACTTTTGCATATCCTGCTTCCCCAAACCAGTTTATAAGCTTCCCTGTTATATTCCCCTGTACCTCCAAACTGCATACCAGACCCATACCTCTAAGTATGTTTCTACTCGTAACACATCCTCAGGCCTTTACTGAGGATATTGTCCTCATATTTTACATTTGGAGCTTTTTCGAACAGCTCCTAGAAAAACTTCTACATACAATTCTTTTCCCCACCCAAATTCCAGTCCCACCCCTTTGCCCAGTGTCGTGGTTTAACCTCAGCCAGCAACTGAGCACCACACAGGCGCTCGCTCACTCTCCCCCCCCCCGCCCGGGGGGGGGTGGGGGAGAGAATTGGAAGAGCACAGGTGACAAAAACTCGTGGGTTGAGATAAAAACAGTTCAGTAATTGAAATAAAATAATAATAACAACAACAACAACAATAATAATAATATGCAAAGCAAGTGATGCACAGTGCAATTGCTCACCAC